GATGGATTAAATCATGAAAGATTTTTAATTATTATAGAATGAAAGACCCTTCTTTTCTTTGAAATTGCATTAGAAAACATCTACAGTTCATTAAAACCTAACATAATCTTTAGTCAAATAATTCGAACTCATAATGTTAGACTGGAATAATGACTGCTATTGACAGTAATAGATGTCCTCTTATGCATATAAATGAGATTAAAGTACTAACTCTGCTAAGAAAAAAGTAAATAAACAACGTTAATTCAAGTGAAAAGGTCATTGATTGAATCACAGAGCTAACAATTTCTTAACGTTTCAAAAAATGTAGACACAGAAAAATCACTCATACTCTTAAATAAGAGAACATAAGCAAGCATTTTTTTTTTTTTTTTAATTTACATTATCAAATGGAATAAGTCGCCAGCGTGTAGCTTAGTACAGCTAGTTGTTATTTTGCACTTAATCAATGATCTATGAGCAAAACGAAACAGAAACCGTTTTTAAGTTGATCACACAAAATAAATAATTTAGGCTTTTAATAAAAATAGTTTTACCACAATTTAGCCTATTTATGACCGCCACCCCGTACGATCTCCTTCCTTTATAATGCAACGATCAACTATTAAATATTCACTATAAATAATTTATTGTTACAAACATGTTAGTAATTAACCAAACAACAATTTATAGTTTCTCCTTTCAATAAGATTTGGCTTAAAGAACTATTTTTCATTTTCATATCACCTGCCATCGACATAACTTGTATACTGCAGAGATTTAACTAATATGTGCGTTTATTATAAGTTTTACAGTCTGGTAGTAAACAATAAAGCTATAAGCATTGCGATGCAACGTAAGTAGAAATATTGGATCAAACTTCAGAACCAATTAACCTCGATCTATTAAATAAAGAAAATCGCACATTTAAATACCACCGTATAAGGCGGAATTGAGCCCATCTTTCAAGACAAAAACTTTCACTGAAGCCAACATCCAACTCTTTCGAAAATGATTTTTTTATAGAAGTTCCTCAAAGGCATCTGGATCATAAAAATACCTCATTCATCGTGGAGGTTGATGGAGCTTTTTTGACAGATTAGACAAACTCTTTTGTTGCTATTTCTGAACAATACTGTTTACCTCAAAATTTCTTAACAATGAAGTGGATCGAACAGATTATTGATGTTTTATTCCCCCCCCCCTAAATCTGATGAATATTGACAAAATTTCAATTTGTTATCATTGAAAATAAATACACGAAAAAAAAAAAAATTATGCTTGAATTGAAGAGCTTTGAATAAGCTACAATAAGCATGTTTAGGCATCTTTCGTAATGATTTCGTAAAACTCAATTTCACTTTTGGTTATTTATTCCGCCTTTGTCCTACAGTGGGATGTTTCCAATATTTTGTGATGTAGTATCACCAACAAACATTAGGTTGAAATCGGTGACCCACTGACTGTAGCTTCCCCTTGTCAGTACTGGTTATAGTCTGTGGGCCTATCCCCCTACCGTGCTCCTCTCTTCCCTTCCCACAGAACTATAAATTGCATATCGTTGTGTTCATTGTAACTATTTATTTAAAAAAGCCAATGCTTCCAAAAAAAAAAGTGAACCCACTGCCCCGAAATGGCGTCGAAACATGGCTGACTGACGACTTTAGTTACTTTTTTGGTCACTGAGAATCAGCATTTGGCTTAATTTCGTCACAGTTGGTCTTTTATTAAAGCTGTATAGTCAGAGAATAATAAAACATGAACAAATATTGAAAAATAATTGGCTTAGGCTATAAAAAAAAAAACAGTAAAATCAATTTTTCCAACTAAAATATTTTCAAGTTCAATCAAGTGTCATTTGTAATTAAACGGCCTATAATAATGGAAAAAATGCTTAAATAAAAAATCTGTAGAATATATTTATCTTTCTAAAACACTGACTTTTTAAAATATTTAACCTATTCCGTACAAAATGCACTTAATTGGCGGAAAAGCGGTACTGGCGTAGGTGCCTACAGGCCTCTGCCACATCATTCTTCTTCTTTCCCTTCCTCCTTAGTTCCTTTCTGCTTCTGTGCTTAGTGCCTTTCGATTCTGAGCCAGCACCCTCATGTCTTCCCAGTTGTTTCCTTTTATTTCTCCCACTTTGGAGATGTTCTCTTTCCATTGTATTCTGGATCTCCCTCTTGGGAGTTTTCTTGTTGGTCTGGCCTCAAAATATTTTCTTGGGTCCCTGTCTTCACTCACTCGACAGATATGTTCAAACCATCTAAGTTGTCTCTTTTCAATGGTATCCTTTAAAGGGACAATACCAATATCCTCTCATTCCATATGCGATCCCTCCTAGTTCGGCCTGCCACTCTCTGAAGGTATTTCATTTCCATAGCAGTAACTCTGCTTAGGTGCTTATTTAGGGATACCCAGCTTTTACTTCCATAAATAAGGTTAGGCAGGTATATAGCCTAAGTCCTTCTTCCCTATAACTGTGTTGCAGAGATGGTAGTATATTGAATTTGTCTTCTTCATCTTATTGGATATTTCTTGGTCTACCTTTCCATACCTGCTGATCACTGACTCGAGGTACACTCTTATAAGTGTATTAGTCCACTATTTCTAGTGGCACACCTTCGTAAATTATTTCAATGTATTCCTGTTCCTGGCCTATATGTATTATTTTGCTTTTCCTGACATTGATGGTCATTCCCTTTCTTTTCAGCTCAGCTTCCCATTCAGATACAGCTTGTTGTAAGTTCTCTTTAATATCTGCTGTAAGGACATTGTCATCCACAAATACCATTACCTGGGCCAGGATTGCACTCATATTCCATTTGCCAATAGTAGTGTGGGCTGTCCACAGTTTGCACATTTTCAGGATTTCATCCATGGGGAATAAGAGAGGGCTCAAACTATCCCCTTGCTTTATTCCTTTCTCAATTGCAAAGGTATGGGACTCTCTTCCATTAATCCTTATCATTTCTTTGGGATTATGATCTAGCGACCAAATCAAAGTCAGCGTTTAGATTTATAAATGCCAAGAAGATACTCTTTCCTCGTTCCCACGATTTATCAATGATTGTTCTGAGAAAATGTATGATCTTGAGTTTGGCGTTGAGGCCTGAAGGCAGCCTGTTCCTCTTCTAAGCCGTTCTCAACTAGCTCTCTCAGCTTCTATTTTAATATTGAGGTATAGAGCTTGTACACAACCTGGGATAGGTCTATAGTTCTCGCATTCGTTAGCACTGCCCTTTTTGTGTATCAGGAGAATTATTTTGTATTCCCATTTCTTAGGGATAGGTTTTTTAGTAATTCACTTCTGAAAAAGGCACTGCTAAGCCCAATGCTGATTCTCAGTGATCAAAAAACTTACTAAAGTCGTCAGTCCCCCATTTCGGGGCAGTGCGTTCACTTTTTTTTGAGGGAACATTGGCTTTTTTTCTAATAAATAGTTACAAGGAACACGATATGCAATAGGTAGGGATATGGTTTGGAGGGTGCAAGGTAAGGGGATCAGGCCCACTTGTATTACTGATGACTAATTCAGATCTATCTAAATGTTCTAATCCTAATTTTGTTTTAATGAAAATAAATTTTAAGTAATAATAAAAATCCTTATGCCACAAAACAAAGAGGACATCAATAATAATTTAAATTAAATTAAAACTAAGATTGATATTAATGCTGAACTAAAAATCAACATTCCTCAAATATATTAACCGAAATACCTTCACTAACAAGATTATAAATTATTATTACTTTTAAGTCAATTTTATAAGTGCACCCATATTAAATATTTTTAAATTAATCAATTTAAATATTACATAATTTATCTTTATAAATAAAAACATCATTTTTGTAATTAATTTGCTAATTTGGGCTTAATATCCTCAGTCTGGCAATAAAGAAGTAAATAATATGTTACCATACCTGTCCGACAATGCACCATTGTTAAAAAAATATAAAGTTTTGTAATTATTTTAGCTGAAACCAATTGTACTAAGAGGCTAAATATCACATTACAAAATGTTTTTATTTTTTTAATAACTTAAGCACATTTAGCTTTCCCTATAACATACCTAAACTTTATTAACATGTCTTTAAAGTTTATTAAATAAAATAAGTTTTCTAAAAGCAGAGAATCTGAAGTACAGTAAGCCAATAAAAAACTCATTATGAACAATCCACAAAAAACCAAACTTAGTCCAGAGAAGATGTTTAAAAAGACAATTCAAATGGTTTTGAAAAATTCTACTTGTTTTTCAAGAAACTTTTGTTACTACTGCAACTGAAAGTTATGTATTTTATAATTATTTATTTTGACTGATCACATCAACTATTCTTCTCTTCAATTATTCACTACAATCAACCATCAATCCACAGTTATGTAGTTTAAATATTTTTTTAGTTGCAACGGAATATTCACTAAAAAATGTGATGTCTTAAGAATAAAAATTAAATCTACCAATTTTTGTAATGGAATAATGAGGCTCACTACAATAATATTGTGGTGACACCTAAATACAATCTGAAGTAAATTATGCATTGTATCACTTAATGAGCAATGTAAGAGCATATATTTAGAATATAGTATAAACAACTGATGTGGAAGTATTCAACACTCCTTTTTCTAGATCTCATACCATCTTCATATCAAAATCAAGTATGTGGCACCATGTATTTCATTGTTAAAAAATATAGAAAGAGAATATAATTGCCATAAAAAATAAAATAAAATTATAACAATAATAATCATAACCAAATAAAATAATAATTAATGAAGAGAAGAATAGTTGGGGTGGTCAGTCAAAAAGGAAGGCAAAATTTCATTATCCACGACAGTCAACCAATTACCAATTATAAAATAATAATTGTATACCCATAAAACAAATTCAAACACTTCAATGAATTAATAGAAGTATAAACTTTGTTACAATTAAAAAAAAAAAAAAAGTGAACACTTTTATAAAGCTCATCTGTTTTAAAGAGGTAATGTAATTAAAATAATCTTCATCCTTTTTAATTAAATTTTTATTTCCTAATACAACAATTATAGTTTATGTCTAGGAATATTTAACAAAGAAGTTTGTAAAATACATATTATTAAAAATAAATTTCCATTACTTGATAAGTACAATATTGGTATAGATAAAACACAAGAATTTTTTTTAAAAATGTAACATATTTACACTGCACATCAAATGCTTGATATCAATCACTAAATTATTATCAACAGGGAAGGAAAAAAGAATCTGTAACTAGGTACTCAAACTAAAAACTAGAATATTATTCAAAAAATACAGTTTATACAAATGTTTTGGTTTTCGTTAAAAAAAACACACAAATTGAAAAAAATATATATACACATACACATATATGTTTATATAAATACATATAAACACACACAAACATATATATATTAATGAATTCGAGTAAGATCTTCAACAATTTTGATAATATCATCTACAGTCGCATCCTGCTTCATCCCACTACCATTCTGAATTTGTAAACCACAAATCACATCCAACATTTCTTTTCGAGGAAGATCAAGAAAACTTTCTATTAGATCTCCATCGATAAATCCTTCAGCTGGTTCTGTTTTAACATCTGTACTAAAAGATCTCCAAAATCCATGCTCTATTTTACCAACAGATTTAATTATATGTGCAAGACGATCCTGTAATTCTGTGAGCAAATCATATAAATCATGAGATATCTGTGTTACAACACCAATAGCACCACTAACTGTACCAAACAAGACACTGCCAGTTGTAGCAGTAGTAGATTCACCTAAATTTTGCATTACTAAAGATCCATGTCTAAAAACATTGACTAAATCACCAAGATGAAAAAGAGCAACTTCTTGCATAAGCTGACGCTCCTCGTCACTGGTTGCAGAGCTGTCTTTTTGACAAACAAATAGATTAAAAGAATTTTCAGCTCCTAGAAATGTATCATCATCTAAAATTTCAACTGCAGTCATCCAATTGGGATTGTAATCTCTAGAAATTTCTTCAAAACTACCTTCCATTGTTCTATATTGAAGCAAAGTTATTGCTCGCATGATATCACCGATCAGAATAAAATCCCCCTTTGTTTTCACATATAAAGCAATAATATTATTAAAATGACTGCATTCTAGCCTCAGTTCTTTTTCTGTAGTCCATTCAAAAAGACGTACGGTGCTATTAATACTGGCTAAAAGTTTTCCATTGAACTCTGATAGGGAATAACATGCACCTTTCACCTCTTTTTCAGCAGCTTGATGTAATTTTCCATCTTCTACATTAAACATTATGATTCTGCCTTGTTTAGGTTCACTGTCATCAGGATTTACTATGGCAGTCCCAACAATATAGTAATGGTTAGGGTCATCACCAAGTTTTGCAGTGATCAGACTCAAACAATATTCAGTCTGCATCATCTGATGAGCATGAATAACTTCAAAGGTATGCTGATCAAACAACAAAAAGTGATGTACCTCAACCTCAATCCCATATTCAGGGGGTTGATTAGGACCAGCAACTTTAGCAATTTGAATAGATGTTTGTACTGAATTAGTAATGGTTTGAGCGCGAGTACTAGCACTTTCCCTAACAACTGCTAGACCAGAGGACTCTTGTACATCTAATCTAGATGATATCACGCCAAATGTCTGAGATGACTCCTGATAAGCTATTCGTCTAGGAGCTTCCCCAAGAGGAACTGACCTTATATGTAGTTTCTGAATTTCATCAATGGTACCAATTACAACCATTGAATCAGTAGCTAATAGTAAGCTATCAGGATAAATTTCAGTACTTAATGAGCACATATAATTTACTTCTTTAAGATTAACATTTGAAAAAACCAATTTGTGGTTTGAAGAATAAATAACAGTAGGTCTATCTGAACAGGCAAATACATTAGTAGTTGCCATTGAACGGAATGAGCGCAATACTATAGGTTGTGTTCCTAAAGTAACTCTCTTTCTTTCTGACAACTGTCCAGTAGCACGATCGAATAAGAAATAAAACATGGATCCATCACCAAGTGCACATAGGACATAATGCATATTTTCAAATGAGGCAAAATGAATAGATCTTGATATAATTTCACCACCTAAATACTCTTTATGAGCTTCCTCAAGAGATGGTGCTCTCAATATTCTTGCAGACATATCATTCCACAATCCGATAGCAATATATTCAGATTGGGTCTCATCAGGAAGAGGTGTAATATCAAGACATGACACTTCAAAATCCAGCATTTTATATTTTTTTTCAACAATCTCATTACTGCATATTTCAAGGTAATAAAGATCACTTCCAGAAGCACAAACCACCTGGAAATTATTAGAAGCAACAACACTAATATTTCTACCAGAAGGTGGTCTCCATTCGCTTAAAACTTCTTCTTTTGCACCCAAAAATATAAGTCTCACAGAAGTTGGAACAACCTGAACAAGGGAGGAATCATTAACATTACCACAATACATTGTTTGTTGCTCTGACTGAAAACCTAAAATTTCTGTTTCTTCTACTTCATCACCATTTAAAGACAGTACTCTGGTATGACCAACAAATGACAGAACAATTGTATTATCAAGACCTGCAGCTGATCTAACTTTCAAAGCCCATATTCCTTTGATCCCTGGCAGTTCAATCGTTGCCTGTTCTTGAATTCCAATTCCATTACGGATAATTCTTAAAGATCCTTCCTTTAATGTGCCAGAACATGTCACTAATTGGCCTTGTCCTTGCCTTTCTAAATCCACCACCACCATATCAACAATTGGGGCTAAATTTGTAAACGATTCCATAACAGTAACATAAGATCCTGTCTCAGGATTAATAGATTTGTTCAACTTGACTAACTGAGAATCCCCTATGCGAGATCCTATAAAGAGAACTCCATTATCTAAATATGTAATACATTCAGGAATACTAACTTCACCCAGCAGTTCTACTTTAATATCATGAACAGATTCAGTTCCATCAACTCTTTCTTCTTTTTCCAATAATAGCATAAATAAATGACCTGCCATATCACCTAATATATATCTACATCCATCTGTATCGACTTTAGCATAACAAGTTATACTACTATGCTTAATAACTGGTGGTCCAACAGAAACAAATGTTACACCATCATGGTACAATACTGATTCTTGTCCTACAATTATAGCGCCACACATGGGCTCTGGTACAGGTATAATAATAGAAGCTTCCATTTCTATGTTATCTTGTTTCCAAGGTGCTTTAACGAACTCTTTCTCCTTTAAAGACAGTTCATGAGTCTTAATATGTCTCCCATTAAGATCTTGATGCAGAAGAATGAGCGTTGGATTAGTGCATCCATGTAAGAAATTTAAATCCTGAATTTCTGACTCTTCAATTCTAATACTGACAGCCTTAAGCTCGTTATTTTCTTTTTCCAAAGGAATTATTTTCAAAAGACCATCATACAGTCGTAAACCAATAACTCTAGCTTCAGGATCAATAACAGCTATTATACCACTTTCAGAAACTTTCCCAATTCTATCAGCAATATTTCCATGAGCTTTAGTATAAATATCTATCTTGTCATCATCACCATGGCATTCAAGTATCATTGCATTGTACTTTGAAGTAACAATAAATAATAAGTCTTTAGTTTCATTAACAGGGCGAAATAGTCGCATCACAGCTATTTTTCCATAAATTCCAATCTCTTTCAAAGGCCTCAACCCTTCTGGACCTACTAAAAAAATTTCAATTCGTGAATTCTTAGCAACGATCAAATTCAAATGATTTGGTGCAGTGAAGTGACCTGTGGCACAAGCATTGACTGCAGTAGGTTTATGTGCGGTCACAAAATACTGATAAGCCATTGTAACTAGTAATAAAACACAAGAAGTTCAATCAGATAATTAAACTGTTACAATTAATGACGGCAATACCTCAATGTCATTCCAAAAGCAGATATAATCACAAGTTAATCAGTAGCTTTAATAATCACCATTAATATATTTCTTCAAGCAAGTATAAATATCAACAGTCACATTTAAATTATAACTTCACATATAGCCGAGAATACGTAAAAATCAATAATTGCTATAAAAAATAAAGCAAAATCTAATAGAATAGATAAACAAAGTACCGCATTGTAACTCAAAGCACAGTTTGGAGGTAAAAAGATAAAAACAATGGGAGGTTTTAAATGGTTGTTGGTGAAGGTTATGAATTTTCATAAGCGTGCGTAATCAAAATTGGACAAATATGAATAAATATTCAGAATTCATAGTATTGATATTTATTTTAAACATTTTAATAACAATCTGTCAGAGCAATGTAGGTGACAGCAAGAAAAAGCTCCAAATTGGTATAAAAAAACGTATAGACAACTGTATAAAAAAGTCTGTAAAAGGCGATCTTTTACATATGCATTATACAGTAAGTTAAATGTTATTGATTTAAAATTTTCTAGTATTATTTAATACCAATACTTGTTTATTTTTAGGGAAAACTTGAAGATGGCACTGTCTTTGATAGCAGTTATGACAGAAAACAACCCTTAACATTTACTTTGGGGTTTGGCCAAGTTATTAAGGGTTGGGACCAAGGACTTATGGGGTATTTTATTAGTTTTTTTTATTGTTTAACAGTTGCTTAAATTTCATAATTTATCTATAGTAGACAACCTATTGATGAACTAGAGCTCATGCTATAGGCAATAAAAATTATTGAATCATGTTCAAGATTCATAAAACTTATAACTCAACTGCTAACTGCTTAGGCATCCCTGGTAAATGGTTATCCATCCCTAAACTACCATTTTTAGTGTAACAGAGTATTTGACATAACTCTAGTTCTGAAAATTATTATTTTAAGTTGTTAACAGTGCATTAATTTATGTTTTCAGTGAAATTAAGGGTCTGATAAAGTAAAAAAGGCCTGTACAACCTACCTTCACTTTATTTTATTAATTTAATCATTGTGTAAAAATCTGTTTTTTGTTAAAAACTATATTTGTAGTAATAGAAGCATTCAATTTCCGCATGGCAACAGGGCACGATTACCTACAAAGGCATTTACATAGGATTGGAGTGGTGGAAAGTCCTGTGTGCCCTCTTTGCCAACAGAACGAGATGTGCGACCTGCACCTCCCAGTTTGCCCCGCTCTGTCAGATGTCCGCAGTACTTCTGATGGGATCGGAACAAATTTAAACAAAGGATTCATGGCGGAGTTATATTGGGCTGCCAGAAGCCGAATGGCCTAATAGCCAACGGCAGAGGTGTTTAATAAAAAACCAAAAAATTTATATATTTTTCAGATCATTAATTGTTCACAAATATGGCAATATAACTCTGCGAACAACATAAATTAATACTCTATTTATACGTTTTTTACTTAATAATATTGACTTGAGGATCCTCCTGCGTTTTTAGTAATTTTAACTTACAAGCTTTCATGGATCCTACCAACTTTCCTATCATTTTCCATTCTTTCAGAACAAAATGTTGTATTCCATAACCATTGTTTTATTACTCATTCATTGATTTCAACCTATATGTGTTCAAGAATTCTGATGAAATCACTGGAAAATTGGTAAGGTCCATTGGAATTCCGTAGAAACAAAGTATGACACATGTTTATATTTCTAATAAAAAGTTAGTCACAGTGTGCATTAACCTTTTGAACAAAGGTGATGAAGATCTTATTAATAATTAAAGACCAGAAAAATATAATAGTAGTTAATATAAAATAAAAATTGAATGCTTCTACCTACCCTATGGCACTATTGTCTTATTCCTAGGCTAAGGAGGACCTGTTCCAGGTCATCCAGCCATATTTTCTGAGGGTGTCCCCTGCTTCTGCTACCTCCTAATAACTTTTTTGGGATTCTGTCTGCCGGGATTCTCCCAATGTGTCCCACCCACCTCAACTAACTCCTTACGAAGGACACCAGATCTGGCTCGCAGTACATTTGTTGAAGTTCTGCATTTTTTCTTATTCTCCATCTTCCATTTTCACAAACAGGTCCAAATATTCTCCTGTGTACTTTCTCTTTCCATATATTCAGAATCTTTTCACTCCTTTTTGTTAGTACTCAGCTTTCATAACCATACATAGCAACCGGTCTAATAATTGTTTTGTATATAAGAAGGACCTTCCCTCTGTTCGTCAGACCCCTAAACTTTAATGATTTCTGGAAAGCAAAGTAACACCTGTTACCGGCATGAATCCTCGCTTTAGTTTCTTCCAAAATTTCATCATGCTCGGTAACAAGAGATCCCAAATATTTAAATTCTCTTACAGCCCGGAACGTATGGCGGCCCAATGGACCCAATTTAGTTGCTCATAGGTATTAGTCTTATTTTTTGATGATCGCATGTACACTGTCTTGCTGTCATTTATCACCATGCTTCCCAAACGCCCCTGCAACTGCTGCTCTTGTCCTAGCTGATATCACAATATTATCGGCGTAGGCTAAGTGTCAGCCTATCATATATGGTTCCATTTGAATTAGTCCGTATGGCGTGGATGGCATATTTAAAAGCGAGGTTGAAGAGAGTTAGGAAAAGAGAATCACCTTGTCTTAAGCTGCTTTTTATTGCAAAATTGTCCGACAGCCTGCTCTGTATTTTGACTTTGCAGCTAGTGTCTGATAGAGTCATCCGAGTTAATCTCATTAATTTTGTAGGGACCCCTAGTTTCAGCATAACTTTTATTATCTCCTTTCTATTAATGCTATTGTAGGCTTGCCCGAAGTTGATAAAAAGATGGTACAGATCAACATATTCATGTGAGTGTTCCATCATTTGTTGGACAGAGAACATATGATCCACTGTAAACCTACATGGTCTGAAGCCACACTGATAATCCCTCAAAGTATTTGCAGACCATTTTTATCCCAAGACAAGACCGTATCCCCTTTCTTAAATATTGGACATATAATAGCCACATTCCACTCTTTTCTGTGGTCCACACTTCTAGAATTAAGTTGTGTAGCTTTTTCAGGATATCACCACCACCATATTTTAGCATTTCTGCATCAATACCGTCCCAGCCAGGATTTTTGTTGTTTTTAAGTGTGACAATCACCTCTAAAAAGTCTTTTTAATCTCACATTCCTTCTCACTCTCACTAGCATTCAGCAGATTTTCAAAATAATGGTATCTATAACTTTTACTGGATCACCAACTAAATTTCCTTCATTATCGTTGTAAATATTTGTCCTTGCTTGGAAACCCATTTTAAATTCTCTCATCCCTTTATAAAACTTACTTGTTTATTTGCCTCATACTCCGTTTATAATGCCTCCAATTTCTTCTTTTCGAGAATCCTCTTTTTCTGTCTGCATATAGAATTGAATGCTTCTATAAATAGAAATTGATACAATAAAATATATGTAGGGTGTTCACAAACTTTTTTGGGCCATTATATATAATGTAGCTTGAAAAGAAACTAGTTTTCAATACTAATAACTGAGGAGTTTACTGACATAATTGAATCATCTACATTGTCGGCACCATGTTAAAGTAACAAATGTGCAATGTTAAACAGGCTCACATTCTTTACTTTAACATTATGCCAACTTGTCCACTTTTGTTTCTAAGTGATGGTAAAACTATTTTTCCCCAATTGGAAATGTTCAGTTTCCTCGAATTAACCATCTTTCCATTCACTGTTCTCTGGTGGAAAAACATATGTAACAGAAGAGAAGCTATCATGAAGTACAGCTACCAGACATATTCGAAATTTCAGTTTCAGTCAACATGAAGATGTCTTTTTTTTTATAGCTAGCTTCTTATTTACTTTGAATAATTCAATTTTTTATTATGCTCCTCACTTAATTAATATTGAAATTAAAATTTGTATACTGTATTTACAAAGATTATGTTTAAAAATTTATAATTAAGGCATTGAATGGCCTATTAGTTTTGACTATAAGATCAGCTATGATTTATTAGACTCAACTTTAATGTAATTAAGGTCAACAGATATTATTAGTATTCAGCAGTATGAAAAAGGACTGTAGTTAATCTTCACCAAGTTTTGGAGAAACTGATGCGTAAACATAAGATTCTAAAACTTTTGTATTCTTCATCCCTTGTGAAAGTACTCTTTACAAAAGCTTTGCAAATAACAAGGATTAGAAGTATTGATAATTTTCACATCCTAAATTTTAAATTTTCCGTTGATAGAGAGATGGTTTTAGTAACTTAATGCCGATCTATTTCTGGCTCTGACTATTAATCATTATGTAGGGTCACAGGTAAATTTGTGTCTTTTGGGTTGTATCAATTTTAACTTTGGAAGAGTAAGAGATTTTAGGGCTTAATGTGTTTTTTTTTTGCATTTTCTACCTCAATTCACTCACGATCAGCTTTATTTTAATCTAGTTTTTTAAGAATTTCACTCGCAAGATTTACTATTTTCTCCCAATTTAAATGATATTCTTATCTCTGTTTATTTAATTGCTTTCTTTTTTGAAGTAAGGCCTGCTATGTTTTATACATTAAACTTGATCCTAAGTAATATAAGTTTGAACTCCATATTTTTATCATTTCTGTAATAACGATTAGCTTATGCGTATTTAAGTCAACTAGATGAATGGAAAAGGTTTAGAGCTGACATACTAGTTGCTGTGTTGATAGACATTAAATATTTTCATACAACACCACAGGTTGCAATTGAATAGGTTATTTATATAAATCATCCTACAAAAATTAATTATGTAAATATCCTAATTGCTGATTAAAATAAAGTCAATTGAAATGATTTTATTTTTCTTTAGACCGTAGCCCATTCATATCGTTAATCGATTATATATACTTACATACTGTTTTAATTGATATTAATTCATTATTATTTTTAAAACATAGTAGAATTAACTAACTGAAAGGATTAATTTATATCGATGTTATAAGTTTAGATCCATCCAATTATGCACTTTCATTACCTAGTTTTATCAAAACAATTATAAAGAGCAACATTTTCCTATTTTTTAATTATTTTCTGATAATAATCGATTAGTGAAAAAAAAATCTATGCTACTATATACTAATGTTTTTTTCTAGAATGTGTGAAGGTGAGATCAGAAAACTAGTGATACCTCCTGATCTTGGCTATGGAAATGTCGGTGCACCTCCAAAAATCCCAGGTGGGGCTGTTCTTACATTTGATGTAGAGCTAGTTAAAATTGAAAAACGTGATGAATTGTGATTTATTTATTTCATTTTAAAAAAAATTAAATTGTATAACTACTTTGCATATCTGCATAAGTCAGATTGTTTAATTTATAATAGTTTTCAAACCAAACATTGGTTCAATACATTGTTTACCAGTATAAAAGTGGTGTTATAATCACAGCAATCAACAGTTTGTTAATGATAAGTTCCCTGATCTTCAAACATTGTTTATAAATATAGTTATTTTGTATTTATTTATAAAATGTATAACATCACAATATATACATAAAAAATGAATAAACTTTGTATTTACAATTTTAAAATAATTACTCCTTAATATTTTTTTAATGTTTTTCTGATAAGCGTAAGTCTTTGTTTATGAGCTTCTGTAACAGATGCACGTTTGTAAGGTCGCAATTCATCTGTTCCAAAACCAGGTATCCACATATTCCAATTTCTTTCTGAAAATAGCCAAATACAAACATGGAAATTATTTATAAAATTTTTAAAAAAATACAACTATAATAAAGGAGATAGGATTGGGCCCATCCTTTGAGCCCAGCAGTCACAGACAATTTGTTTCAATAATTAAAATAGCATATATAAGCAATTTTTATTATAAAACTAGCTTTACCCGGCCATGCGCTACTGTGGCTTAGCCTGGCAAAATGAAAAAGTAAGAAAATAGAAAGCACATATGAGTAGATAAGTAGCAAAGGAAATCTGTCATTTTAAAAAAGTTGAGAAACAATTTGTCTGTAAAATGGCTTCAATTTAAACTATTTCTAATGGATTTTTTTCTCATGATTCAAACTGAACATTCATAATCATCAGAAACAGTTTGAGTTGCACTTATAAAACTAAATTAATTTAAATAACGTATAATAGTATTTACCTACATAGGGAGAATCATATAACCTCTTCAAATGATAACTTCAATTACTGTAGTAATTATAAAATTTTCGATTAATCAATAAAAAAAAAATGCTTGCCGACCTTCGGTAGTGAGGAAGCAAAAGGAAACGGCCTGTTCTGAAGAGAAAGCAGTAACTGTTTAAAACTCAATAACTCTGCAACGGACCGTCCCGATTTCGATGAATTTTTTTTTATTTTGTCGGCAAATCAGGAATCTTTCAAATAAATGTGGGTATTATCAGTCAAAAATTGTGTACTTTTTTATTTATTGTCAAATAAAATATTGAATTCATCGTAACATTTTTCAGCTTGTTTTCGGGAAAGTATGTTACACACATAAATTAAAAGGGTTTCAAGGGGAAGACTTTAGAGAAGTTTCATTAAAATCGGTAAAGCCGCTTTGGCGCTACAGTTTATAGCGACACATTTTTTTGCGGCTTTGTACAGAAAAACATTTACATTTTTATTTTTTTTACATATATAAAATTATCGTAAGACAGAAGTACTATGCCAGAAACCTTCCCAGGAGTGTACGGAACAACTTCCCAAAGTTTCATGGCGATCGGTTGAATGGTTTAGTAATGCACTAAGGACAAACAGACGGAGAGACAGACATACATTCATTTTTATATATATAGATTGTAGTATAAGTCAAAAAAAGAGACAGCTGATGTTGAGAAATATTTCTCCTACTTCAGGAAAAAAAAAAAAAAAAAACTTAAGTAACTCAATATTATCATTTAGGGAAAGTTCTTGAGTTTTTATTCATTCATCTTTATATTCTAGTCTACAGAGGAAAATATTTAATGAGAGGAGGGAGAAATCCGCATCAAGGTCACACTTCGTTTATTTTGACTTAAACTGTTGTACTTATTATTTTAAATATTGATATGTAAGCTAACTGCAGTGGAATCGTATGAAACTTAGAATGTAAAGTCAACAATTTTATTTAAACTGTCAAATGTGGTGTTAAGTAAAAAAATAAAAAATTTCAAGATCTCACTAAATATAAGGTTTTCTTATAAACCAATAAAGAGTATTTATTAAAAATTGAATTATCATTGCCAAGAATACTCCTGAATAGCTAATGAGAAAAGCTTAGAATCACGACAAAATTAAAAGTAAAAAAAAAAAAAATCAGCAGGGAAGAAATAGATAGTCAAATGACAACCTGTTACTTAACGATAATAGGTAACTTAAAACTTTTAATTTATATAAATAAATTCAGAGACCCCAGCTATAGATTATCACAACATCCATACCCATCCATTTTTGTTTTAGTCCAAAAATTTTAGTGCACTCTACAAGTAAACATTTGTCAATTAAAAATGCTCCTAAAGAGGTCAATTTTCCCTTACCTCATTAAGAAATAACCATTTAATAAGAAAAAAATATGCTGCAATGAGATAAGAGGTTAAATGATACCAAAGAGGACCCACTATTTATATCTTCTTTTTTTTCCAACCCACCATAATTTATTTATTTTTTACAATATACATATATGTGTGTATATATATATATATATATATATAAATTCCATACATCTCACAGAGTTTATCAATGATTTGGTGATGGTCTTCACGAACGAGAGCATTGATTTTGTCGGTTTCTGTCACTTCTTGACGTTCAGGGGCGTCGTGCACAGGTTTGGTCTTCAATTGATATTTCTCCATTTTTAAAACTTGAAAACCAGTCGTAGACTTTGGTTTTACTTAAAGAAGCATCATCATAAGCAGTTTTAAGCATTACAATAGTTTCCACAGCTGCTTTCCTCAACAGGAAACAAAGTTTCACATCCGCGCGTTGCGTTTGGCATCGGCCATTATGTTTTTTTAATATATTTATAACATATTTATTAAAAAAATCAGAGTTTGCTGGTCAAATCTTGCTTCCTTGGAAATTCATTGTGAAAAATGTGAGGAAGTTTTTATTTTTTTAAATTTGTATATAAGGGTTCAGACACGCAAAAAACAAAATTGCTGACACGGGCCACCAAGGGAAAACTTTTTATTGCCAAAAAAGCAAGAGTATTTCGATCTTTTATGGTTTTCAGGAGTCAAGTTGACTTATCCTAAGGCCCCTTTAGGACTTCTAAAAATTAATACATGCTAAGGAGCTATTAAAACACCAATCAGAATAATTTTTTCCCAAGATAAGTTTTTACCCTTCGAACTAACAAAACGTTCCAGCACAATTTCGGTCAAAAATTATTTTTGTATTTCTGGATTTCAGTTCAGTTTTCCTGTAGCCCTCCTAAGAGTTGTAAAAATTAATATAATGAAGCTTTGTCCTAAAGTTGACTAAAAATAAGATATAAGCCTCGTAAGTTGTAAAAAAATATTTTCGATATTTTAATGGTCAAAAACCTTTATCTGTTCGCTTGCAATATTAAAACACACCAATAATTATCGGTTGTACTCACTGAGGAGCTATTAAATGTCAAATTAGAATAATTTTTTCCTGAGATAAATGTTTACCCTTCAGACTTAGTAAACGTTACCGCACAATTTCGGTCAAATTGTTTTTGGATTTCAAGAGTTCAGTTCAGTTTTTCAAGACTTCTAAAAATTAATGTAATGAACTTTTGCCCTAAAATTGACTAAAAAATAATGTATGCCTGTCAAGTTGCAAAAAAAAATTTTCGTTAGTTTGATGCTCGAAAACTGTTTCCATTTCACATCCGAGATTCTAACACACTAATAATTATCGGTTGTACTCACTGAGGAGCTATTAAAACTCAAATTAGAATACTTTTTTCCTGAGATAAATGTTTACCCTTCAGACTTAGTAAACGTTCCAGCAAAATTTGTGTCGAATATTATTTTTGGATTTCTTGAGTTCAGTTAAGTTTTCCTATAGCCCACTTAAGAGTTCTAAAAATTAATATAATGAGCATTTGCCCTAAAGTTGATGAAAAAAAGATATAAGCCTTGCAAATTGCAAACAAATATAAAATCCTTTTATGATTCAAAGCAAATGGCAAATAAGCAGCTGCCACGACTGTTTGTAATGACATGATGTACCAAACTCAAGTTGCCTTAATGGAATCGCTTTAGACGCATACTACACTCATGTGCAGCAACACCCATGGGACCTACCTGGGTCAACAAATTCCACATGCAACATTAAGTGAATTTTGTGTGGCATAGTCGGATGCCTACAATAGGCAAAACTAGAAAACAAGTATCAAGTCACATGTCTTTCCGTGTTGCCTCAGTGGAATTACAGGTTCATTCATCAGCTCATTTTGGAGCTGGTAAGAACAAATATAATCAGATTTTACTCCAACGTGATCTGATCATCTACCACAGGTTTTAAAAATTACTATCATTAACCATAACAAAACTTAAAATTAGCTATCACAATGTCTAAAACATTAACAGAACTTACTCAATAAAATATATTTTAAAATATACAACTTTTTACCTAAATGTAGCTGAAGATCCTTAACTTCTACAGTAGTTGATTTTCTGTGCTTGGCAAGAAGACAACCAGCTGTAATTGCTGAGTCAACAAAATCATCTGCCATTTGTAATAATACATCTTCAACATCTTCGTCTAATTGTTCATTAGGATCTACTTCTCTCACTAAATCTTGCAACCTCATTCTTGTTAATATCTATAATTGATAGAAAAAAAATTTTAGTCACCCTTAATTTTCCATGAAAAACATACAACCTCAAATTTTGGGGACGATTAAATTTTTGAAGTTTTGGGTTGATTACAACAGTTCATTATTAAAAATAATAAACCAAAAATAGAATAAATAATCTGGTGAAGTGTTTACATCACAAACTTTCAATTACCACCTTGCCTTAAATAAAAATATTTTCATATTTTTAGTAATTTCATAAATAGTTAAATGAAAATAGAAATTATAGACGGTATAACATATTCATTTAAAACAATTATTTACCACGCAAAACATAATGTCAGGATTCAAAATATTAAAGGACATATACAAATGTTTAAAAAATGTAAAAATGGATTTTTTGAAACAATTCGAAACTTCATCCAGAACATCTACCAGAAACACTTTTTTTTTTTGTTTTGGGTCCTCGCCTTTAAGGTTATACGAGTTTTCCTGGGCCAGGGGGTGTGGGCGGGGATTTAAAAGACTCCCTGGCACCGGGACGCGAACTCGTGACTATTTTAAATTCATTGTCAGGTTGCCGGGCAACAGTTAGCCCATTCGGCCACCCCGTCCACATATACCATGAAACATCTTTTTTTTTTTTGTCCTTCCCTTCCTCGCTGTTAAGGCTATACGGAATTTTCCCAAACCAGGAGGTGTGGGCGGGGATTTAAAAGACTCCCCCGGCAACGGGACGTGAACTCGTGTCTATTTTTATATCTTTGATTCATTTATCAGGTTGTCGGGCAACGGCGGTGCAGTGCACACGCGTTAGCCCATTCGGCCACCCTGCCCACCTGTATACCATGAAACATGTTGAACCATTAATGTTTGTGAATGTGTTATATATATGCTTTATTTAAAGTAAGAAGTAAAAATCATTTCACCTAAAGTATTCCCCATCACTACCCATTTTATTATATTTTATCAATTCAACATCTGAAAAATTACTAGCCTTTCAAGACTACCCAAGAATGTACTCAATTTTTGATATCTTCATAAGAATGGAAGTGTTGATCAGCTAGGCCAAGTACTATCGAACTAAATAAGTGATCATTTGAAGACACTTATGATATACACACTTAGGATATCCGATGAACATTGTGGGTGGGACATGACTTCCTATTTAACCGTTTCTACATTGGTTTTTACCTGTGGCTGAGCATTGTCATGTCTCTGCTTGTACAGTGGCCATTTTCTCAATTAGAGCTCAGCTCAAATGTATTAATTTAAGTCTAGTCCAAAGTGATCTCCCATGATAGTTTCATTAGTTTTGAGCACCTCATAATGAATAACATCGTGCTGATCCCTACGAATGCAGATAAGCTTCAAATCATGGATATTTGGCATTGCAGATAATGTTGAAGCATAGCCAAGCTTACGTTATGATTTTTTAAGCTTAGGATTATCATACTGTATCAATTTTTAGCCGTCAGTCAATGTACGATGCAAAAACCTTTAACTCATCAGCACCCAACGTCTTTGCTTCTGGATCATTTCTAATGCTATAAAACATTTTGAAAACCGTTGTGTCATCTACCAGTAATGATTTTCCATGTCCAGTTAGCATTTGAGGTGGGTCTTCATTGAGTCATTTCTCCAATTCCTCTTCTAAAAAACTTGTTTGGTGCACCATAGTGCCTTATCTCCAAAATTAAAATCATTATTTAGCCCTGTCAAACTATATCAATTAAGATTTATGCCTTGCCTGATATTAAAGATAACTTGATAATGTATTATACTTGAAGATTCAATGAATTTTGACCATATTCATCAATGAAAAAAATACAGAAAGTGCACTAAAATATGCAAAGAACAGTGCAGTAGAAAAAGTTCCTTTAAAGTTAATGTGCGCTGGTAAATAACCAAGGAATAGACCGAAACAAAGGCGGGAAGAGTTAATGCTGATTTAGCGGGACTGGTTTTTGGAAGATGACTGGTGAAGGGAGGTGGGAAGACAGCGATTGGTGGTGTGGCATCGAACTTTCGGATTCGCCAAGCCTTAATTATTTACTATTATTTAAAGAACAAATTATTCATACGGTACTACTTTATTTGTAATGTAATAGTTCTCCTTGTGAAAAGCAAATCTAACTTTTAGAGGGGGGTTAGTTTCAACTTAGCAGCACATAAATTGATCTCAGTTAGCTATATTCTTGTGACTAATTAAAAATTCAACATATATATATATATATATATATATTTAGAATATTTCAATTTAGAATATATATATTCATTCAATATTTAATAAACATACTTACCTGGGTAGATTGCTCTTGTCCTTGACTGGTAGAGTTGGTGGCATTTGGAAGGCTATTTATGGAAGTCTGAATAGTACTGGGTAAATTCTGTGGAGTATGATTTAAATTAACAACATTAGCATTAACATTTTGGTTTGGCAAACCTTGAGTTAATACTGTTTGTAAAGTTCCCATAACAGGCATAGTATTCACTAAAGAATGTTGCTGTGTGGAATTGTTTGTTAATACTTGGCTAACATTATTTGTTGTTTCATTCCCAGAAACTACTCCTTGCTGAGGCTAAAAAAAAAAGTAAATAAATAAAGATTAGTTAATACTGCAAAAAATTAATTCTAAAACCGCATACCACAAATCCCCACACTTAAGCCCAAATATGAAATACCATATATAACATGGACAGCACAATAAGCATATATAACATAAGCAAATAATAGGAACAGTCCCTTCAGTAATCATAAATGCTTAATGAAATAAAACCTGATAATGAAATTATTGTGTCATTATTAAGCTAATCATGTGTACTTAAGAGATCACAATAAAATGAATTACAGCTACTAATTAGAACTGCAAACTAAGAGGAAAAATTTCAGAAGTTGTGGTAGGAATGCAACTCAAGGGATTGTAACTCAGTAACACCGAAGACAACACACAGAGTTTATAATAACAAAGCAGTTTTTTATTCCCACAATTATAACAGAATGCACACATATGACCCAAAAAATAGACGTTGATTAAAAAAACATAAACATGACAACTTACAATAACAGTAAGTGCCAGAAATACTTTAAGTAAGACAAGTATAAAAACAAACATTGATTAACATACTTTAAATGTAAACATTTTTTACTTGCAAGAATTTATCACCAACATGAAGTTATGACATCGATAGATTAAATATTGTGTACATTAAAACTGATTTCAATCCCTGTTAATTACCAAGTGACTTGAAGGTTAATTACTAAGCTTTCAAATTAATCTAAAACAAGTGACATCTACATACAAACATACAGTTCTTTAAACTGTTATATTTTCTAAATGCTTTTAAAAACCATATAATCCCTTAAATAACTTTTTATTTTGCTATTCACACCACAAGTGCTTTTAATAACAAGTGCAAGTGGTGTCCCATACAATCATGGTGCAGTCTGTAAGACCAATACTTTCTTACTTCATGAAAGAAATCCCTGTATTGTGAAAACCTGTCAGGATGTGGATAAGGCCACATGGTACTCATTCTGGATACGTCCTAAATCAATTACAACAGAGTAAAACATCAAAAATATTTTAGACAATTTTTTTTATTCTTTTCTTTATTTAACATAAACATAAAGCAAAACTTTTCGATTTATAAAGAAAGAAAGAAATCTCTGTTCTTTTAAACTGTTTGAAATGTAAATATTATGTTACTTCTAAACCCATCAGGCTCATCAATGTTTAAGAATCAAATTCAAATACACTAATATAGTCTCCAACATACCATAAAATTGTTCATTTCTGTATCATTTGAATGATTATTTTGATGAGGTGTTTGTTGACCCAAATTGTCCATAATAGAGATATAAATCTGAAAACATTTAAAATAATTAACAAACAAAAACTATTCAAGATATTGGATATAGAACTATTGACAATATTAAATATTATAATAATGGAATTAATGTCAAACAAATATTTTAAGGCAATACTTCAGAGTAATTCGTAAAGCAATGACCTACCCCGATCGAAACCAAAGTCACTGGACTGTGCAGAAACTGAAACCTCAATAGGGTTATAAGTAGTAACCAGTGTTGCTGCTTGTCACTATAAAAACATATTAACATAACATAAGTTTGAAAGGTCTGTTTAGACATTTCAGGAACAGGGGGGAGACACAATTATCTAACTTAACTTAAAGCGACTTTATTGCTGAACCAAATTATTTATTTTATTTCTCTTGATACAGATAGCAGATGGAATTATAAAAAACAAGAAACAAAAATACTAGCACAGTGAAATAACCGTTTATATATTTGATTGTCATATAGTTTGTAAAACTTCTAAACCTACCTTTAAGTAGGCGAGTTTACTGGGCATGAAAAGATGATTTTTCTTTCAATATTTGATCGCACCAAAACGTTGAAATAGTGAAAGAGGTTTAGTAATTTGCATTTCTGATGTTTATTATAATTATATATCAGAAATGATTAAATATAGAAGACAAAAATACTTCTTTTTTTTAGAAATAAAATTGGCAGCTCACAAAGAAAGATATCGAAAAACAATTAGCAAAATTAAAGTTTTGGAGGGTATGGTGAGTTTTATCAGTTCTTTCAGAAAATGTAGAGAACAATCCATCAGCTAATAATGAAGCAACGAAGTTTCTGTCAATTTTCTATTTATCACTTAAATTTAACAAAAATTAATTCGGATGAAAAAATTGTCAGTTATTCCAGTTAAAATTTCTTTAATGAGTTAGTAAAGGTTTCGACCCAAACGTGTGGTTCATTATCAGAGTTCAGTTCTTTTATGTAATCAATCAAATCAGAGGACAGGATATTATGAAGAAACTTATATTGAAGAAGAGAAAACAGAGTGTTGTTGAGAAAATATTATGTGCAGTAAGATCACATTAGTATGAGAAAAAAAATCAATGAAAATAGTATGAGTAGTAAGAAAGCACAGCGAAATGTGGCAAATTTTTTAGTGCAGACTGAGATAGGTCGAACTGAGGTGTGAGTCCAGTGATATTTTATAAATATCTAGTGGTACTTTTTTTTCATTTAGTTGTAGGCCGACTCCTTCTTCTTCGCTGGGTCTTAGCGAGTTTTTCAATGTCCTCTAGATTATTTCCAAGAACCGCTATATCGTCTGCATCTCCCAGGATTTTATGAGTCTTTCCAACGTGAATCTCTCCATTTTCGTGTGATGTTCTTATCACCTTTTCCAGCCCTAATTTGAACATTATCAGTTCAATTGATAGTCTATCTTCCTACCGTAAGCCCAGTAAGAGGAATGAACTCCGTGGCAGGCGGATACTCCGTAGTCTGCCCCAGCACCTTATCCTCTCCATTGTCTTAGGACGGATGATCCCTGGGGTAGGTCTGGTCTAAGTACCTTCCAACTATTTCCACCAGGCTGGCTGCTGGTCCACCTGCTGATCTCATGGCCGCCATTATTTGTGCGTGTTCAAGTTTATGCATTGCCACCCTGTACGGTATTCCCCAGGGATTATTCTTACTTTCAGTTCTTCTGAACTCGTCCCAGGACACTCTCTTCTGGCGTCGCACTTGGCCTTGTATATTCTATGCTTTCCTCACTCTGCACTTTTGGTATCTACGCATCACTTTGGTATCTGCAAACTAATTTACCACAAAAAATGCTGCAATATCACTGAAACCAATGTATCGCAGCAATTAAAAAATAATTGGTTCTGCCATACGTGTGTGAAGCCTCTCAGTAAGAATTAAAAAAGATAGCCGAAGATATCAAAGAGGTCAAGATATAGCTAGGAAAGCATAGTGATCTAGCATTCGAAAATAATGAAAGATAGAGAAAAATAGAAGAGTTAGCACTCAAACAAGAAAAAATCATTGAAAATTTATGTGGGAATAAAACTCTTAGATCACAAATAATTTTCCTCGAGCCTAGACTTAACCAAGCAAAACAAGCCTAGCTGGCAAACAACTTGGAGATAAGAAGTATCACGGCTAATCCTGGTGAAACGACAGAGGGTCTAGTTTGTTCCATAGGGGCAGCTCTAAGTATAAAATTAAACGTCGAGGACCTAAATTTCGAGGAGAGAAAAAAGAGCAGAAGAGAAGACCCTCGGTCACCGCCCATCGTCGTGGGGTTCGTCCGCCAGACACTACGCGATGAAATCATACGCCTGCGCAAAGTAAAGAGAGATTTCTCAACAAGATATTTATGACGGGACACCCACGAGAGGATATACATAGGCGAAGAAATGAGCCCTGACAACAAACGCTTATACTGGTTGGCAAGGCAAAAAAAAAGACGGTAGGGAAGATGAAGTGCCTCTGGTTTACCGGATGAAAAATTAAATATAGAAGAGAGGCTCCCCTGTCAATGTCATTTGTAAAAAAGAAGACATTGAAACCATAGAATGAAGTATGTTCCAATGTTTCACCCAATCCTTATGTTTTTAAAGTCTTATATTTTTATTTTTTAACATTGTTTACTCAAGCAGCTGTTAATTTCACTTTTTTATTATTATTTTCAAACGTAGAAGACTTTTATTATATTTTAAATTAAACATTATTTTTTACTATGGTCATTCCTGCTTACGTTTTTTTATTAAAATTTACGTTTATTATTCTACTCTATTATTTTCTGTATTTTACAATATACTGTTTAAAAATGTACCCTCTCCTCTAATCTTAACTTCGTTCTATCCCATCTTACTGCTTATCCTTTATTTAATTCCTTAATGACTACTCCCTCAATCTCCTGCCACGTTAACTCCTAATGCCTTCCTGCACATTATAACGAATTACTAGATTATTTTCAACACAGTTTCTTCCATATTATTGCCGTATCCGAAACTTAGTTCAAACTTGATATCACCTCACCATCTATTTCCTTACCTTGCTATACCCTCTTTCGTCATGATCGGGAGGATTGATCCGGAGGAGGCGTCGGTTTCTTCGTTCATGATAGCTTGAGGGGCAAAATCTTTTTAAAATCACCTTATTTTGATATCCCACACATTGAATATCTATTGTTCCAAGTTCCCTCTAGAACCTTCTCTCTACTCAACATCGTTATTTATCTCCCTCCTCGTGTCCGATTTGATCCCATATTTGAATCAAACCTCCTTACACATATCCCTAATTTTAAAAATGTAATAATTGCAGACGACCTCAATACCAACCTCCTTTCAGTCTCTCCGGACAGGACATATCTAATTGACCTGCTTTTCTTCCTAGACCTATTAATTGTACCTTTTCAACCCACCCATCAAGCCCAGTCCACTGATACCTGGCTAGACTTATTTATCATTGATTCCTCTCAAAACCCTGTTTTGAGAGGAATTACCTTATCCTCCACGCAAAACCTTGTTTTATTTCTCTCATCCCATGAGCTTATCGAAATCTCATACAATATTATTACTCCTACCATTTTCCCCAAACAAATTTCCTGGAGAGATCTTGACTCCCTAAACATGGAAAAAATCAAACCTTATCAGTTTCCTTAGAACCCATCTACTCGCTTTCTTCCCTCGATGACATGGTGAGATACAATTAAAATTCGGAGATACAATTTTGAATTATAGCATATTACAAAGGGGATGAAATTCTGAACAATTTCCTCGCTTACAGTCTGTAGACTCGATTTTTTGTTGTTGAGATATTTTAATCCATATGTAAAAATATTTCAATTAGTCGAATCTAGTCGAATAGTTGATTTTACCCGAGCGTTAATCTGACGGATCAATCTAATTTACTCTCCACACAAAGTGCAAAACGCGCCTAATGAAGTTCTCTCTTCAAAAGTTTAGATTTTAAGACAAATTATTCTTTAAAATTGTCATTGAATTATGGGGAGCAACATAAGGTGTTGATTATGATGTAATTTTCTCGCAATTACGATCCGCTGTAATCTTCTTTATGGTCAACATTGGAAATTTTGAAATCAACATTTTTCAAACTTACATAAACAATCTCAACCCGTTGTTAATTCTCATTTTGATTTATTTGAGTTGAAGGATTGAACCCACAATGCAGTCTTGAACTTCATCTTACTAGCTAGTGATTAATGAATTGAGCAATGCAAACATTTTCGTTTTATGTGGCTTTCTCGATCCCAATGAGACAAAGATGCTTCATTCCAGATTTCATCCTGTACCCAATTTCGGCTCCGTATTTTCTCCACAACTCCAAATGAATCATTGCTATGAATGATTTAGTACCACCTAGCTCAACCTCTACTGAGGATAGGAGCTAGGCCATAGGCAGTCAAGGAAAATTACTAACTCGAGTCAACTTAGGTATTATCTACAGCACAGCAAAATGTAAAAATAAAAATCTCGCCATCCTAGACGTACCCAAAGAACATTAGATCATCAAAAAACCAAAAACAATATTCCAACCAACTAGCAATCAGTGACTTGTTTAAATCACTTCGTCTTCATGCTGTAGTTGATGTTTAATACATTTTTTTTCATATTTTCTTTCTTTTGATAATTACATAAATGTGCGGAGGTTGTTGTTTATGTTGTGTTATATTAAGTTACATGGTTACATCATCTCAGTGTTTTATGATCAATAAGTTCGTTAGTGAATGTATTCCCTAAACGAAGGAAGTGTATTATTTTAAGTAGCATTTGTTTTAAGTGCTTGAAACAGTCTGAATAAAGTCATTTCCATGTTATTTAGATCACAATTCTTTGGTCTTTGAAAATCTTGGGACTCTATCAACAAATATAAGATATCACTGACTATAAGCTCTATGTGTGCGATTGTTTAGTGTTCATATTAAACAGAAATCCCTGTTATGAAATCATTTTCAGGCATAATAAATCAGACTTTTTACAATGAATTTACATCGTATTACTTTTATTAATGACCAATTAACAATTTTCCCTCACCGGTGTTTAAACTGAAGAGATGGCCGGTGGTAGGAGGAATATTAACCGCTCTGGGTCATCTAAACAACATGCCTTTTTTAATGCTGATGATTCCAAAAATAAGTAATTGAACTTACATGAAAATAAATCTATTGCATGTGAATTACTCTTTATAAACATTGTGAATATTTTTGTAACTTTTTAGGTGTACTCCTCCTGAGAATATAACAAAAGTTTCCCCCAAGCATATGCCTATGCCAGCACTTCCTCATGACAGCAATATAATGTTTGAAATTATTATGTTTGTTTACACTGGTACTGCAGTGTTTCTTCAGTTCCTTCATCTCTATCGGTCAGTTTGGTGGCTTCCAAATTCAAATGCGAATCACGCTATGGTAATAAGAGTTGCAGTTAGTGTTGATTCTATTCATAAACACAATTTCGAAAAAATTTGGGTTTATTTGTTATTAGAATCTGTACCTCGTTGATCCACATCTCGTTGGTTTTATTGTTACAATTTTGGTCCGAAGATTAATCTATGGCATATTGACTTACCTTATTCTTCATTGGGCTCCTGCTCCTTTATGGACTTTACTGGAGCAATTAATTAGGTATATTTTAATACTCTGAAATATCTAAGTATTTGGTTGTTTCTTATTGGTATATTTATATTTTTTTTTTTTTAGGCTGTTTTTACTTGGAGTAGTTATGACTTGTCTTGTTTGGTGTGCCTTTCATGTAATGAGAACTCATCCATTAGTTAACATATTCTACTTATGTTATCCGTATGTGTATCAAGAATACTATCATTAAATCATGCTTTTTGTTATTTATATGTTATATTATTAAAAATTAACTGTTCATTTATTTTTATTTCAGGATTTCTGTATATTTTATACTCTTTGGGCTAAGTATTAGTCCATTCTTTGATGTCACCTCAATTCCATCTACTGTTCAAGAAGATTACAAAAACAGATTGATTGGTAACGTTGTTTGTTAAATGCTATCGTTGTATTTATTTCTTAGCTTTAATTAATAATGTTTTCATTTTTCATAGGTAAACCTCTTCATAGTTGTTCATCTTCGCCCAATGCTATAAGGGAAGAAGTAGAAAATTTGAGATGCGATTTTAACAATAGAATGAGACAAATTCTATTTAGTTCTATGTTGAATGGTTATTATGCTGGGTTTATTCCTTGCTGTTTTGCTCAAGTATAGGAATTTTAGAAAATTATCAATTATTTAATCCTTATTCATGTTTGATTTGATTTTTTTTTTTTTTTTTTTCAGAATTTTCTATATTATGATGTTTATTGGGCTACACAGCACCTAACATTCATATGGATTGGTTGTTTCACTATGTACCTTGTTCATTGCTACCCAGTGAAGTAAGGAATAAAATTATTTCATTATTAGTATGTCATACTATGGCTGTTAGGCCAAGATCATAATGTACATGAAATGCCTTAAGTAGCTGAGTTTGTGTTTGGAGATGACCAATCTCCAGATCACATGGTCCAAAAATAAAGTGCCCACAAACATAACAAGTGTGTGGATGTTGTATTTGGATCAGCTTGAATTTTTTCTTTTGAAGTGAAAAATTTTTTAGCGCGTTTTGCACTTTTTTATGGAGAGTTAATTAGATTGACCCGTCAAATTATAACGCTATAGTCGACTAATTGAAATATTTTTACATATGGTTTAAAATATTTCAGAAACTAAAAATTGGACCTGCATACTGTATGCGAGGAAATTATTCAGCATTTTATCCTCTCTGTAATAAGCTATAATTCAAAATTCTATTTTAACATGATGTGTTAAGGAGGCGAAAAGGAAAAAATGGTGTCGAAAACCAAATGATAACTAGAGTTGAATATATGGATTATAATATTTCAGTATTATAATATAATATTCAGTATTGACATTTCTCCCTTTAAGTGTGAGGGGAATCTAACTTATTTTGTCTTAATGAAGAATAATATTCTCTACAATCTCTGAAGTATACAATTCCTGTGCTGTAGAGTTTGACAGAATAACACTCTATGTTGTTAAAAAAAAAAAAAAGGTACTATTCTTAGAAGAGGTCAACTTTTATTTATGAATCTCTCGTAAATCAAAAAAAAAAAAAAAAAAATTACATAGACTTATTTAGCTGAGCCTTTCAATTGTATATGATGAATAGACTATCTTGGGAACGTTATTTATGGCGGAAAAAATTTTTCCAAATATCATTTGACATCAAGAGGGAGTATTAGAGAGAAGAAGAGTAGATATCTAATGCAAAACTCTTTGCACTGGTATGCTAGTGATTATAAAAGGACTCGAATTGTTTTAAGGTTGATAATGATACTTTTACAATTAAAAATCACTGTCTGCTAACTTCTCTTAATCGAACAATATCGAAACCCAGATCTTTAATGTCAGCCTCAATCCTACTACCTTGATCTTTATCTACTTCTCAGTCTATTTTTAATTACATTTTTGGAGTAACAGGACAATTAACTTGCTGAATTTTCCAGTGAAATTCTTTAATATTTTTTAAAATTGGTGATATTGTTTAAAATAAAATCAAAACAATCAAGATCTTTTTTTTATTGTAGCTAATCTGTTTATAACTTGTAATTTAATTTATTTTTTTATTATCTCTTATCTTCATTTCCTTCAACAAATAAAATCAACAATTTGTAATTGGGAAAGGATAATTGTAATGTGGTTTTTGACCTTTTAGGTATTGTGATACATTACATAGAGCTGCTCTGCATCTAGGTAAATGGGTGAAAGTAGAAGGACGAGCTTGTCATCTCCCTTCGCATGTGTAAGTATGTTATATTTTTATTTGATATGAAAGATGTATTTTGTCCAAATTTCATGTTACATTTATACTCGACACCATATCAATACCTCTATATCATACATAATATTTTCAGAGCTTAACAGTTTATTTATTTTATCATTTTTTTATTAGATGGTCCGATTCAATTTTATGGCAGCAAGGTGCACTTGTGAAATATAGTAAGGAGTTCTATAAAGCAGAAGGCATTTCAAATGCTGCAGAACCAGGAAATAGTTACCATACCAGATTTTATGTAAGAATATTTTATAAATATTACTTATCTATTCTAGTCATTAGACCAAAATTAAAATCTGTGTGGACCATTGATGGAAATAAGCTTTGTTAGTTTTACACAGTCCTTTGACATAAGGTTAAGTTTCAGCATTTAATAAAGTAGATAATTTTTTGTTTTATAAACTGTAAAAGAAACAGATTTACTTACAGTTTTGGTGTCCCCAGCACAATCGGAATATAATAACAGTTTCTGACAGACAATGGAATCATAAACCATTTTATAATTGATATAAAGCTGGTGAATAACCTCGTTGTATTCTAATATTTTCTCTAACATTTGCTGTAAGAAAAATATTTGACCAATAATCGTAAAAACCAAAAAAAAAAAAAAAAAAAAAATGTATAAGGTATAAGAAAAATTTAATGTTTTTATCAATTGAATCATTTATCGTACACAGAAGCTAAGTAACAATCAACAGTTTAACAGTAGTTTTATAATTTACTTTTAATCGAAGATATATTGATATCATATGAGGCCAAGTTAGTTTTTCGGAGGAAAAATATCAAGGCGACCAAAGAATTTAGGAGAAATATGTCCAGGAAAGAAATCGTAATTAATAGACAAAAAATACTATTTAAAATCAACTGTCCCAGGCATAGAAATGGTAATTTTTTTTTTCAATTCTTCATTGAGAAATATTGCAAACTGTCATATCTAAGGACAATAGTAATAATGATAGAAGAGTAGTTCATACACACTCTATCTACAATAAATAAACAGCAAAATAACAATACTAAAAGTAAATGTATATAAACTAAAATGACTAGTTAAATACACACTGCTTAATTATAATTTATGCATAATTATTATTTTCATTTTATCATCTATAATACAATAATCACTTTCCTATTAAATAAGTAGATTTTTAATTTTCAGTTTAGCTAAGTAAAGAAATGTGTCCATATTCCCCTTAGCTCGGATTCGATTCTGGCTGTTGCAGATAATTATTCATTTTGTTACATCAGCCGACCAAACTGAGACACATCAGCTTTAAATAAGAGAGTACTTTAATTTGGGAAAAATCCTGGCGGTTTGAACGTGATCATGAACAGACCATTCTCTTGCACAACCGTCGGCTTAGAAACCCTACTTAGCTACACAGTATTGAAATTTTATTTGTTGTTTTGGTTAAAGGGGTTAACCATAATCAATTTTTTTTTTTAATACGTCAACCACTAATGTCATTTTTTTAATAAGGTTGATCGTCCTACTCACATTTATTAGTTCACAAAATACCACCTGTTAAGCCACAAAACACCAGCCTTCCTGGTAATTTAAGTAATATGTAATACGAGTAGTTAAGTTTTTATTGCAAGGTTAAGACCATAACGTAATGTTTTAAATTATGTTTTGCTTGGTATTTCTGAATATTTTTGAGCGGAAGATTGACCAGGAAAGATCGAAACCACACTTTCTAATAAAATTGTACTTACAGGTTTTAGTAGCACGAATGTTGCAATGCAACAAGTAATAAATACTGTCATTGTTAATTTAAATTTATCACTAAGTGTAAGTCTCTGTTAGTTTCATGTTTTTATTATTTTGGAACATGCTTTTATCCATTTACGTAAATATTTGTATACTACTTTATGTTTACTGTTTCTTATGTACTACAATGGATTTTTATTTTTTTTGTGTTTTACTAATTTATTTTCCATTACTGTCAAGTTTAATACAGTTATTATTTTTCTTTTGCTACTTATTAATTATTCAATAGCTTAGCTATTTATATATTTTTCTTCCTTTCATTAAAAGATATTGAAAGAACTATATATGTTTTTCTTTTAATGAGAAGAAGAATAGTTATGGTGGTCAGTCAAATAAGAAGGCAAAAATAAGTGATAATATTTATTTTTTGCCTTCTTATTTGACTGACCACCCCAACTATTCTCCGTCTCATTATTCACGACAGTAAACTATTTAACCACTATTATGTTTTTTTTTTTAATTTGTTTCAGAGCATTTTCCACAATCCAGCATTTTTTCTATGTTCTTTGGTCGGCCTTCAACTTTCATTCGTTGTTCTCCAGCTTGTTATTCTAATGCGAACTACAGAATGGTATAAAATAATATCAATATCCTTGCTTCTCTTCGCCAATCACTATCCTCTATTTAAACTTGCCAGAGATTATCTTATTTGCTGGAAAGTTTATAAAGCAGAAGCTATGATTCAGGATAAGGCTAATGGAGGTTGAAATTACTGCTGATTCATGAGACTGATTTCATATTTAGTAGATGTAGATGATACAAAACCTGAGGACATTGAAATAGTCACTTAGCTGACTCATTTATTTGTTTATAAGATAGTAGGTCATAATCCTTAATTATGATCATTTTTCTTCCTTTCATTAAAAGACTGAAAAAACTTGTATCACATTTGGTGTATATCTATTTCCCCAAAAATCTTTTATAACCTTTGATACTTGTTTGTTGGAATTATTATGAAGAGTGGTTATTGTTTTGTTCCCAGCATGTCATGTTTTTTTGTATTTTTTTATGTCTAGTTTTAACCATAGTTACCAGCCGGTGTTAGCTAAACTATTATGTTACTTTTAAACTTGATTATACTCATCCAAAGAATAAATTTAGTTTAAAGTAATTAACTGATTAATCAATAAACCATATTGCCTTAATGACTGAGACTCCATATGAAATCATTTCCATATTCCTCGAGTTGTTTGGTTTACAGTTTAATAATGACCACATTCTTTAATGAGGATAGATTCCTCTATAAAATTTAAAGGATATCTACCAGATCTGGAGTAAAGTGGAACAGGTCTGAAATTTCATGAAAGACACCCCGGGAATTTTTCTCAGCTTAGGAAAATAAGCACAACTTTGATGTTATAAATCAATATTATAATTGATTAAAATAAGTTTACATAATAATAATATATACCAAGTATGGTGTGTTAATACATTTTTTATAATACATAAAAGTGGATATTATTACAAGAGCTCACGAAACTTTGTTCCTCTTTGGTGTATATAATTTTCATAAAACTTTTTAATCAGTATTCTTTAAACGTTATTAATTTATTAAGAAACGGTTTCAGTGTCAGTATCAAAAAACAACAAATGGCAGTTTGTTGGTTTTTAAATATTTTTATGTCCAAAAAATTGTTTTGGCTTTGAAAAATAAGTTAAAAGTCAGTTTTACAAATGATAATCCTTCTGTTTGTAGTTTCAGAGATGCTTTTTTATTACACATTTATTTTTTTACGATAGTAATTTGGATGGTAAAGCTCTACTCCGTATGTCCATATAGATCTTATTATAGTCATGTAGATGAGTCTTTTGTAATTAATTGGAAGTTGAGACCGTTTGTCTAGTAAGTGCTGAAATAATCAGAAACGTCAAGAGGTTTCTTGTCGTTTCAGTCTGGTATGAGGATTCCATGTTAGACGTTTGTCCAGGTGAAGTCCTAGGTAGCGGATTTGCTCAACAGGGATAAGTGGAGTATTGTTAAAGGAAACTGTAGGACAGGAAGTCAGGTTTACGACGGAGGGTAAAGGTGATTTGGTGGGATTTATTGGAATTTATTTTAATTCTCCAGTTTTGACACCATTCTTCAAGGATTATGATTTGTGTGATTGAAGCATTTGGGATGCAATTGATGGGTCATTGTTTACTGATAGTAGATATGTGTCATCGGCATACATGGTGATGACAGTGTTGGGATAGGTGGGGATGTATGCTGTATAAACTGTATAAAGGATACTACCTTGAGGAACACCAGCGGACTGGTAAAAAATGGATGAATAGGCGTTTTTGTGATTTACTTTAAAGTATCTATCAGTTAGATAGGAATGGATTATAAGAAGATATGTAGGTGATATCTCCCCCTAGGATGTAGCATGGGTACTATGTGCCTGATATGACTAATTTCTTCGAGGCCCGATTTGATAGCAGATATGGGTGTGGTTGAATGTAGTCCTCTCAGGACCACTCGATATGCCTTTTCTTGTTTTAATTGGTAACAATGGAAGTCGTAGTTACTGGATGTTAAAAAGTTAATCAGTTTTTTATAATTGTCTCTAGAATTAGTGTTGATTTTAATGTCGTTGACTCTTGAGAAACAGCGAACATTTGGCTGTCCGATCAAATCTGCAATTTCTTGACTGAACAACATAAAGTTCTTAATTTTTGAAACAAATACTGGTGGCGGCTCAGGATCAGAGGCTGCGGAGTCTTGTGTGATAAGTTGTTATCTAGAATAGAAGTTTTGCTGGCTGAGGTGTTGGGTGCATTTGGCTCTGAATGAGTGGCATTACATTTGCTCCTAGTTTTAGGTAGAGATTTATCTTGTTCTGCTTGCTTATTTGATTTTTTTTTATTAGGTGAGTTATGTCCCGATCCGGGAACTGAATTTCGAAGATGCTTTTGGAGGGTACGTCTTTTCAAATATTGCGAGTCGGCCTCGGTGATTTCTGAAAAGGGTGTCTTGTATTCCGAGTCTTCACATGATATGTTCTTATCTGGATCCATGATAAGTGGTAAAGAAGAAAAGAATATATATATAAACTTAAATATTAAAATAAAAATTGATGAGAACTTCTTAAAAACTAAGCTATTCACAAAATTACATACATAAATATATACAGGTATAAAATAATTCATTTCCAAAAATAAATAATCGAAGAAAAGAATAAAATAAAGGAGTCTCTGGAAAGAAAAAAAAAAAGGAAACAAAAAAATAAAGTAAAATGTCTTGGATTCAAACTGAGAATAACACTAAAGAATGTTATTGTACACAGAGCCTTGACCATGAACTTCCCAGATAAGGTAAAATCCGCAAGGAAATTACGTACCACATGAGCTAACCAAACGAGCACTAGAGAGAATCACTTTATTATCATAAAATAGAATAAAATGGTGCTGCCCAATTATATTGGGTTGCTAACAACACAGCATACTTATTAATCACTACAGACATTATTTAAAATTATTATACAATTATACAGGAACAACAATATGTATGAGCATAGTATACAATATTTTATACGTATATATATATATATTATTATTTTTTTTTTCATTTTTTTTTTCTCCTTTTTTTTTATTTTATAATTTTTACTATTTCTTTCATTGATTTATTATCATTCTGTACCCTTTCTCTTCCTTCTCTCCCCCTATACATGTTCCCACTCCTCACATTCTCTCCTCTCTATTTCTAACCTAATACATAAAAAAAAATACATTAAGTACAGTGGACGTGTTCAATAAATAATAATATAAAAATGCTGTAACACACGCATGCCTCCCCCCGCGAGCAAACTCTCCCCCTATCCGCTCCCATGCACATGGTGGTGGATGATTCCCAGGGAGTCGAGGATTATATTCTCCGCCAACCTTGCCACGTCCTTTATGTCGACACCAAGGCCCTCCATGAAGCTCCTTGTTGAGTCTGGTATCGTTCCGCGAGCTCCGAACCAAAGGCCTCTCACGTGGAACTCTCTCGGCCCGAAACTCTCGCGGAACTTTTCACTAAGGAAAGGGATGCATTTCTCATATGTATGTTTTTTCTCCCTTTCCACTTTTTCTGCCTGATCGAGGTCGTTGGTCTCATATCTCACGGTCGGATCCAAAATCATCGCCGACTTTCCCGTCTTAGGGAATGCTACAATGTCGGCATATCGGGTGGATCCATCCGTATCTATACAATATACTTCCTCGAAACAGGCGTATTCTCTCTCTTCAAGGAGCCTCATCAGTTCATGCTTGACTCTGTGGTGACGGCGTGTTATAAGGAGGGAGTTGTTGGGGCATTTTCCAAGCACATGTGCTGGTGTTTCTGACTCTCTGTCGCATTTGCGACAGAGGGACCCAACTTCTCTTACCTGTCCGCTGACACCTGGGACTCCACGCAGGGGAGCATAGTTAATATTTAGTTTCAGGGCATTTGACCATTCAGACCCAGAAAGTACTTGCTTATCGTACATGTATTTATTGGCTTTCGGGCTCTCTTTAAAATGGCGAACTCCAATGCCCTGCCAGTTGCAATTGGTCCATTCCTCAAACGAATTTTCTCGAAGCGACTGCCGTAGAGCTCTCATATTCCGAATACCCCGATCAACCCCCAATCTCTCGGCACATTCATCAACCTCAGCCGAATAATCAAAGATCGACTGAAAAAGGGCATCGGGCACATTGGACAGTCGCTGAGCAATGGACCAATGTTGTAGAGGAGCCTCCCATTGGCAGCGGATTAATCCTAATCCTCGATACCTCCTGGGAGCGTATAACATCGCCGTGGAGGTGTTCGCAGGGAGTCCAACAATAGCCTTCACACTCCTGCGAATCATGGTGTCGATGCCGTCAAGTACGGCAGGACGCAGCTTTGTGAGGGGCGCAGTTTGGAGAGGGTAAGTAAGACCCGGGAACAGATATTGGTTGACAATGTTTAGCTTCTGCTCCGGCTTCAGCAAGGGAGAGGTTACCAGTTTATTCAGGTTTTCGTTCAGTTTGGTCACCGAATCTTCGTTGAACTGTAGCTCTCCCGAGAATGTACATCCTAAATACTTGATTGTATCTCCATTCTGCATTGTTTGGATGTACTCTCCGTTCTCAAGGGAGAGCATCGCGGTTTCCAGCTCTCCTTTATTTAGAACGATGCCCACGCTTTTTTGAGGATTAATAGCCAAACCAATTCCCTCAAAGGTCCTCTGAACGCTGCCGATCACTCTTTCTGCAGCCCCCTTGTCACGCGCTGACACGGCCTGGTCATCCGCGAAACCTGTGAGGACCACACAACCTTGGTCACTTTTTAACTTGTATCCAAATTTTTTGGAAAAGTCTTCATCGCACAGGTCGCGATAGAGGTGGTCAATGGCCAGGTTGAAGAGCGACGACGACAAGGGGCCGCCTTGGGGTACCCCGCGCAGCACTTTGATTTGGCTAGTTGCGTGAACACCGTTACTAAATTTGAATGTGTTCGTGCAGAGGAGAGCCGATATAACGTGTTGAAGATCCGGCGACACACCTCTTGCTTCCAAGGAGCTCACGATATGATTGTGGCCAACATTGTCAAAAGCACCGACAACGTCAAGGAATACCACCGCACAATCTTTTTTCATAGTCTTTGCATCTTTCAATACAGCGTCGATAATCCTTGCGTTGACGTGCGTTCCCGGGAGGCCTTTTATAAAGCCTCTTTGATTCCTGTGGAAGGTGACCTGTTTTCTTAATTCGTGGTCCAGAACCTTCTCTATGATTCGGCGCACAATAGAATAAATGGTGATGGGTCTCCAGGAAGGGATTTTGTTTACATCACCTTTCCCCTTATATATTAGTACTGTGCGCCCTTGTCGAAGTGGTTCTGGGACATAGGCCACCTTCAGCATTATCTCTGCAATTGTTCTAATAATATTTGCAACATCAAAATATTTAATCGTGCGGATCAGAACTCCATCAGGCCCCGGCGATGTGTCCATTGATGTTGATTTAATGGCTTTCTTGACGGTTTCTACATCAATGGACACTAAATTTGGCATCGGGGCACACTGCTCGTAATCCGCACGCCTGCAGAGATTTTCGCTCTCAAAGAGGTCTTTATAATATTTCTCGATATCAGCCATCTTTATAGGACACCTCTTAGGAGCATCGGCATTCATAACAGTTTGCACAACTTT